AGCAGAACTGGGGGAAATCTCAAAAAATCCTCAAGCGTTACTCTTGGAGGCAGTTCACTCCACTGGTTATGATGGTGCGTTGGGAAATCCCTTTTTGGCTAATGAATCAGCACTGGACAGATTGAACGGTAGCATTTTGAGGGGACTCGTTGTTGTAAGATCAAAACACTTGAATTTGTATGCTTGTGTGCATGCATCTGTGCTGTCTGAAAATTTTCATTTTGAGCACTTGGAATCTTTTTTCACTTGATAATACATGCTTCTTCCCTTTCCTATGCCTGTTTTGCTGAATTCCAGTTGATTTGATGATTTTAGGAAAATTACACTGATGGTCGCATGGTCCTGGCAGCATCTGGGGTTGTCCATGAGCAGCTTTTACAAATAGCTGAACCACTTCTTTCTGACGTGCCATCTGGAACATACATGGAAGAGCCTAAATCATATTATGTTGGTGGGGATTATCGTCAGCAAGCTGATTCGCCAGTGTGTATTATCAATTAAGTCATAGTGAAACTGCGTTTTTCTCTTCTCAGCCCTAGTCATAGTTGAAATCACACACCTTCACTGAAAGGAAAGAGGAAACAATACGAAATAGAAGAAACAGCTTTAATTTCCTTTTTGTTTTCATTTTAAAACCTTTTTCCCTTTCTGTTTGTATTAGATTGATAAATTTGTTCTTTGCTTTTGACCAGAGCACACATTTTGCTCTTGCTTTTGAAGTGCCTGGTGGCTGGAAGAATGAGAAGGTAGCTATTACTATTACAATGACAATTCTTCAGGTGCTTCATTTTGATATTTGTCTCTTAATTGATTTAATGCATTTTCAGTTGTAAATTCTCTCTTTCCTTCTGCTATGATTTGTTGAAAAGCCTGCAGGATTTCATTTTCTTGTGGTTTCTTTCGTATTGGCTATTTTTTAAATATCTTTTTAATCTTTCAATTTTTCATGATATAGAATTCCTGTCTGCAGTCTGTTAATAACTCCTATCCTCCCAGAGATACTCATGGCAGAAGGTGGCTCATTTTCAGGCAGTGATCCAGGGAAACGGATGCACCCATGGCTGTGTAAGTTTTTCTTTAATCTGCTCTACAGATATCTTTGCTTACTATCTTTATGTAATATTAGTTATGCCTCCTTCATAGATGATTGTCCTTTTTTTATCTCATGCTTGCTGGGTTTCTCTTCTTCCTGTTCTGAAATTGCACTGGTTTCAAATATTATGTGATGTAACTCCCTTTCTATTGTTGGATGAAGACCTACGTGTCTTGAATGCACATCAGCAGATACAATTATTTTCTGCTTTTGACAGCATATTCAATAATACTGGATTATTTGGCATCTATGGTACTACTGTAAGGCCACAAACTGCCTGTCACTTGTAGTTATTTCTATTTTCTCACAACAAATGAGATTGGCTAGTTGCACATATTAACATACTTATGCTTATTGTTTTCCTTATGTGAATGCATTTCATCAGCTTAAATGACTTAATATCTTTTTACGTAATTATTTTTGCCACTGTGTATACTGTATTAAGCTTTATGATCCCATGTTTATGAACTCAGAGCCCCGATTTTGCGTCAAAAGCAGTGGATGTAGCAGTGGAAGAGTTAACTCTAGTTGCAAAACATGGAGCAGGTTTGCTCACTTCTCTCTGTGTTTTCTTGTTTAACTATTTTTATTCAAGTTTCAATTCTCCTGTTGCATGCTATTGTTCTCCTTTTGTTTCTTGTTTTTAATTTATTTCATTTTTATTTTTTCTGTATCCTTTCATAACACTTTTGTTGGTGGCAGTTCCCCAGCTACAGCTTCAGCACGCCAAAGAAGCTCTGCAGTTTTGATGAATCTAGAGTCTGGAGTCCTCTCTCATGCCCAACCAATTTGATCTACTCTAAGATAATGGTGATATATCTCCACTTTTTTTTTTTTTTGCATTTTCTTACTTCTGTTACAATATCTAGATTGTTGTACTTGCAGACGATTGTGGCAGAGGATATAGGAAGACAGATTTTGACTCTTGGAGAGAGGTATCTGTACATACATTCTATTCCCCTCT